CCGGCGGGGGGGGCCGGGGGTGGCGAGCCCGCATCGGGGCCGGGAGGAGCCGCAGGCCCTGTTGGAGAGAGAGACTGTTTAGGGGGCGGCTGGTGGAGGCGCGACGGGGAGTGCGGTGCTCGGAGCGCAGAGGAGATGATATTCATGTTATAATCTTCCCCGGCTCTCGGGGGCGATGGGTTACCATGTGCCAGGGACTCGTGGCTGTTGCCTTGCGAGTCAAAGGGGGAGGGCTGCAGCGAGGCGGGGGCCTGCCCGGCCCCGCCGGGGCTCGGCCCCTTCGGGCTCTCCAGGCAGGGTCCGTCTTGGATGCAGGCGTGGGGAGATGAGTGTCCTGCAAGGGAAAGGCAGAGCCCTGGTCAGCCCTCCGCCCCCCACGCCGGGGTGAAAATCCCACGGGCTTCAACCAAAGGGGGACGGCTGTGGGACCCCCCCAGCGGGAGCCGTCCCCAGCACCAGCCCCACGGCCCCGCTCTGGACCAGGACCCCATCCCCATCCCGCACTCACCAGTGTGTGAGGAAGAGGAGGAGGAGGAGTGGAGAAGGGCGTCCTGCCAGGTGGTGCGGTGAGCGGGCGGTGGGAAGCTGCCGTTGTTGTTCAGGGAGTCCTGGGGGAAGAGCAGAGCCAGGGTGGGTGGGCTGTCGAGCCCAGGGATGGGGCCCGAGGCACATTTGGGGACCGGGCAAGCACGGGGGAGCTGGGGTGCCTGGCGTGGGCTGCGCAGGGGCACGGGGGTACCAAATGCAGCCAGGCCGGCCCGGGGACGCTCCTCGGCACGGCTCGGTGCTCCCCGCCGGCTTGGCAGCACCCGGGCCACGTGCCCAGGGGCTTATCAGGATTAGGGCCGTGACGTCCCCAGCGACCCTGCCCAGCCAGACGCACGCCCGGCAGCGCCTGCCACAGAGCAGGACCCGGAGACAGCACGCTGCCCGTCCCGCACGGCCCCAGGGACACCACCTCGCAGGGGACACGCCGGCACTGGTGCTGAGCCCACCGGACCCCCGGCGTGAGGCCCTGCTGAGCCCTGTCTCCCCGAGACCGGAGCCTGACTCCAGCAAGGGGGGCTCCGCTGCCTCCCCCAAAGAGCCGCCGGCCCTGCGGTGCGGGCAGGAGCTGACAGGGCCGGGGCTGCCCCGTCCAGTGCGGCGGCAGCTGTGGATTAATCCCAGCGGGAAGTGCAGGCAGCGATAATCCCGCCGAGCGGGAGATTAGCGAGCGGGGCACGCACGGCAGGGGTCCGGCGCGGCAGGGAGGGTCGGGCATCACACGGGCTGTGCCGCAGCCCCAGGGACGGGTGCCAGGGGGAGATGGGGACGGGTGCTGGGGGGACGGTGCCCAAGGATCGAGGTCTCGCCTCCTCCCAGGGCCAGAGCAGGGATTACCGGGATTTGCACCCCGGGCACACCGATGGGGGCCGGATCCAGCCATCACGGGGGCTCCACTCCCGTCCCCAGGGACGATGGACCAGGGTGGCCAGTGGGATCTGGCTTTGCCGGTGCATCCTGCCAGGGTGCGGCAGGTCAGGGCTGGCAGGCGCTGGGGGTGAGCCCTGGGGCTTTGTCACCCTCCTGCGCAGGCCCAGCCAAGACCCCCAGCCCCCCCGACAGTCCCCCTCCTCCCCCCCAACAGCCCTAGCCGCAAGCAGTGCCCTCCCAGAAGGGGGGGTCGAGAATCCCAAAAGCCCCCCGGCACCATGGCAACGCAGCCGGATGCAGGCAGCACCGCACGCGGCTTCCCACACACTGCGGTGGCACGGCAGCTCGGGGCTGGCACCACACACGCGTGCGCGCGGGGACACGGGGACACCCCTGCGGCTCCACGCCTGCGGGGACCCCCCCACCCCGGGGGAGGCCCTGACCCCAGCTCCAGGGATGGAAAAGGAGGGACGCGGCATGCACGAGCACCCAGGCACACGCACCCGTGCGACGCACGGGGCTGGCACATGACGCTCGCTGTGCCCACAGCCAGCAACTGCCCGCAGCACCTCGCAACCCTCTGCCACCCAGAGACATCCCGGATACCCCACTCGCGCCGGAGCCCCGCACATGGGGATGGGGCCCCCCAGACCTGGGCCTGGCAGGGAGCGGGCAGGGGCCCCGCTGGGCACCATGCAGACCCATCCCCAACATCCCCAGCTTGGCCCCACCACTGCGGAGCTGGAGCCGGCATCATCTTTGCCCTTCTCTGTGGTGCCCACCACGCTGGGCTGGGCGCAGCCCTCCGCCCACCCCTGGGCAGAGCCCACCTCAGTGGGGCTCCTTCCCATGCTGCACCCCACAGAGCCCCTGCTCCTCCTCTGCCAGCCCTGGGGGGCAGAGACCCCGGGGGGAGGTGGTGGAGACCCCTCCTGGCCGCCCCCACCCTCACCTGGGTGCCTGGGGCCGTCAGGTTGAGGGTGGTGGGTCGGTGCTTCTGCGTCTCCTCCAGGGCGGGCGAGGGGATGGGTGAGGCCGAAGGGGATGGTGGAGCTTCCAGTTCATTGCCCTCCTCCTCCTCCTCTTCCTCCTCCTCCTCCTCGTTGTCGTCGATCATCTCGAACTCCTGGAAGTCGTCCTGGAAGGTGCAGATGGGGTGCGGCTGCTCGCCGCGCTCCAGCACCAGACAGTCCTGGGGATGCGGCACCAGGTTAGTGGCCACGGCGCTCGCGCTCACCCCGCTCCCCAGGATGGCACGGCTGCTGTGGCACGACCCTCCCCAGCGGTTCTACTGGCACCGGGCTGGCAGTGCATCCGCTCCCCTCCACTCCTGCCCCAACAGGATGGGGGTCTCCAAGAGGAAAGTGCCCTGCGCCGGGGACCGGGGATCCCCCTGGCTCTGCCAGCACCCTGCCTGTCCCTTGCTGCCTGTCCTGGCCCCAACACCCAGCACTTCATCCCACCCGTATGCCTGCCTGGCCCTGGCCCATTTCCCCAGCACTATTCCCCCCAGTGCTGGGCAGAGCTGGGGAGGAGCTGAGTAAGTGGGAGGCACGGGAGCCACCGGAACCGGGGAAGCGCAGTGGCAGGCAGGCACCTGGCTGGCAAGGCCAACGTGGGGCTGGCTGCTGAGCCACCCATGTTCACCACGGCCGCCCCACAGGGCTCAGCCAGAGGTGGCAAGAGGCCCCAGGGTGCCTGGCCATGCTGGGGGTCCCTGGGCTCAGGACCCTGCCTGCGCCCTGCAGTGCATCCCCTTGGTGCCCTGGCACGGGGGCCCCTGCACCCTCCGCTCCGGGAGGGGCTTTGCTGGGCCGAGGCCCCCACCCGGTCCCCACCAAAGCTCTGCGCAGCTGCCATGTGCCCGGGGGGGGGCTCAGCACACTCAGCTGGTGCACCTTCTCATAGTGGTCCGAGTCGTAGTTCAGCCCAATGCCGCAGTCATCTGTGATCTCCGACAGGTCCTCGTCATCGAACTCCTCCAGGCTGATGTCCTGGGGGGGCCTGGGGAGAGGGGCCGGGGATGTCAGGCCAGGGGTGACACGCAGACAAACCTCAGCAAAATGCCTCCCGCTCCCCCCCAGCACTACAAGGGCCTGGAGAGCCAAACAGCATTGTAGGCATGTGCTGCTGGCATTGTACCCGTCACCCCAGGGTGCATGCCAGCATGGGAGCACCAGCTGGGCAGCACCACAGGGGCATGCTGGCGCAACACCATCGCCCCAGGGCGCTGGCACGGGACCACCAGCCAAGCCAACATGGCACGCTCCCGCCTGGCAGCACAGGGCCCGGGACCCCGAGCCGCAGCCTGGGCATCAACCCCATGCCAGGAAGCAGGCGAGGCCGGAGGTTACAGTGAGGGCGATGGCCGCAGCGATGCACAGGGCTGCCGCTCTCAGCGCCGTGCTCCCTCCCGCCCGGCTCGCCACAAACTGCCCAGATTCACCACCGAGCCTCGTACCAGGGCGGTGAGAGCCCTGCACAGCTCAGGGCTTGTCCTCAGCCAGGCAGAGGTGCCGAGACCACTGCCACAGCAGGCAGCGCATCTCCCAAATTCTCAGCCCAGCAAAATCCCTTGAGCCAAACCCAAGGCACATGCCGGAGCCGAGACGGGGAGGGGACGGCTGCTGCCGCCACCAGCTTTGGGGTGACCCATGCCACAGGGCTGCTTTCCGTGCCTTGGGGGGTTTTACTTTAGGTTTAACCTGAAGCAGAGCTATGTGCCGTCCCGCAGCGCTGCCCAGGCGCAGGGCCTGCCGGCGCAGGCAGGGACAGGGGGTGGCAAGGGCGGATCGACGCCCTGATGCCCCGGACTTGCCTGCGCTGCCTCCCTGCCTGCCCCGCAGGCAGGACCCTGCAGGCAGGGCTGGGGCTGCCCCTGCCCAAGGTAAGGGCAGCCAGAGAAACCAAGCCAAGCTGTTCCCGTCAGGAACGGGGGTGTCATGGAAACCAGCGGTTTCTGCAGGGGAAGGGAAAAAAAAAAAAAAGGAAAAAGACGACAACTCTTGGCAGGATTTGGTGTCAGAAAACGGAAACCAAACGTTTCTGGCGGGTCTGTAGGGTGGGAGGAGTGGCAGCGCCCAGGTGCTGGTGGAGACCCTCTGCCCACCCCCGTGGGGTCTGGGGGACACCCAGGGCCCCCCCACAGCCCGGCCCCAAGGGAGTGCGGCAGCAGCCAGGCAGGGGCCAGCGGAGCTCCTCTGGCAGGGATGGGTCTGGGGTCTCGCTGGGGCTCAGCTGGCAGCAGGAGCAGACCCCCCACGTGGTGGTGGTGGTGGGTGTCACAGCCCCTGACAGCCATGGCTGTCTCCTGGGCTGCGCCCTCCCTTTGCCTCCCGCTTTTGCCCCAAACTCCCCTTTTCCAGCCCCTGGCCCCAGCACGGAGGCCAGGCGCTGACTCCCGTTTCACAGGGAGAAAGATTTCCCCTAATCACATAATTCCCAGAAGTAGGCCATGGAGACTGCATTAAATATTTGCAGATTTGTGGCGAAAGCATCAGAGCCGGTGGTGGGACCGTGGCCTCAGCCTGCAGTGGAGCACGGGGCTGGGCCGGACCCTGGGAAGGGGTGGGGGACCCCCAGGTGCAGTGGGGAGCAGAGCCCTCGGGGTGGAGGTGGCAGAGCCCCAAGGGTGGCAGGGACCAGAGCCCATCTCCCCAGCCCCAGGGGACATCGGTGGCTGCTCTCCCGCAGGCAGCAGGGTGGGGGGCAGAACCCTCCGGGCTCCGCTCCCGCACCCTTGGACCCTCCTCACCTGGGGAACGAACTCCTCCACCAGCCCTCGCCCTGGCTGAAGGGACACACACACTGGGCCAGCACAGCCCGCGCCACGGCATGGCATGGCACAGCAGGGCACGGCACTGCTGCCCTGCATGAGCATGACTGGGGTCCCTGCCCCACACAGGGCTGCTGCCCTCCCGCAGCCGGGCTCCAGCTGCCCTGGGGAGGCCATCTCCCCTCAGCAGGGAGCGACCGCCGCAACAAACCACGGCTGTAATTTCTAGGTCACAGCGCTCCTGAGCTGGAGCGGGCACGGTGAGACTGGGCCACCACGGCAAGATGGGGCCGCCAGCAAGAGTCAGCCCGGCCCCACAGCCTCCCCGAGGGGACCCTTGGGGACCCTGGCCCTGGCCCCGCTGCGGCCAGAGAAGAGGCAGCACCATCACTGCGGGTGCAGGGATACAGCAATGGGCGCCTCGGACACACTGGTGATGAGCAGCAGGCGGGAAGGACGGCATCCGTCCCTGCAATGGCTGCACAGGACACCGTGGCCAGCCGGGGCGGAGGTGCAGGTGAGGAGCACATGAGTGAGGGTCTGGACCTGAAGTGGAGCTGAGGCAGTGGTTCGGGGAGGGGGGAGCTCATCCCAGCACATGGAGAGGGGGTCAGGAAGGGCAGGAGGCAGCTGGACACCCCACCGCAGGACGTGGAGGGACCCAGCACCCCACCGCACACCCCAGGCTGGCCTCGCCGCCTCCACTTCGGCATGTCCTGAGCTGGGCCGGACTGGAGGAGGGGAGCGGGGAGGTGAGGGCAGCACCGGGCGAGGGCCGGGAGCCGGACCCCAAAGGAGGCCCAACATCACCCACCCCTGGGGCGCAGGGAGTGGGTCCGTGCAGGGATGGGGAGCAGAGCGCACAGCAGGGTACACACCGGTGTTTGCACAGGAGCTGCTGGAGGCCGGGCTTCCCAAGGAGGGAGTGACGACCAAGCAGGCCATGGGAAGATTGAATTTCCTCATCATTTTCAGACCAGCTCCCTGGACAGTTCGCTCTGGCAGTGGCTCTCCTGCAATGGCTTCTCCCACAGGGATGGGCCAGGGACTGGGAGGGCAGATGTGCCTCCAGCCCCCCAACCCCTCTGCACCCACTGGCCTCCGGCTGCTCCCAGGGGAGGGAAGAGGCTGCATGGAGGTCAGTGCTGACCCTAGAGGGCCTAGCCCCAGCCAGCATCCCCCACCCCAAACCTGTGACCGGCACCCAGGGCTCCCACGGCCCAACCTGCAGCCACCCGCACCAGTGCTGGTGCCCCAGACGGGGAGGCAAGAGCCATCCTGGGGCCTTGCCCTCCCTCACCAGGCCCTGCCAGGCTCCGGGGACCTGCAGGTGCTCAGTGAGACCTGGGCGCACTCGCTGCCATGGCATCCCCGGGGATTTGACCCGGTTCTCCATGCTGGTACAGGGATGCAGCGCCAGCTCCCTGAGCTGCCTCCTCCCCACAGCGGGGAGCAGTGCGGGCTGGGGGTCACGGTCACGGCTCCAGCCCTTTGGCATCCGCAAAGGGGCTTTGTGCTGCTCGCAGTGCTGCCCAGGGCTCGGGGCCACCGTTGGGGACCTCAGAGACCGAGTGCTCCCGTGGGAGCTGGAGGGGCGATGGACGATCCATGGCTGGGGGGGAGCACACATGGCCGGCGCAGGGGTCAGGCTTCTGCCATCCCTCCCTCACGGGGCACAAGGGCAGAGGGAGATGTGGAGGAGCAGCAGCAGCAGCAGCAGCAGCAAGCTCAGTCCCAGGGGAACTGAGCTCCCTGGGGGGAGAGGAGTGGGTCTGGATCAGGCTGGGAGTGGGCTCCGGCTGGGACACATCCCTGGCCCAGGCCTCAGCTGCAGCAAAGGGCAGGGACCTGCCAGGGCCAGGTCTGACCCCACATGGCAGGGCACGGGGGCTGAAGCAGGAGCAGTGCCAAGGGGGACACAGCCGAGACCCCCAGAGAGTTGCCCCGGGCCCAGATCCTGGGCGAGAGGCAGGAAGGAGCCAAGCAGCCACAGCAGAGGCCACGTCCTCCCCTCCCTGCACCACCGCCAGTGGGGACGCTCCGGGGTCCTGCTGTGCGGTGTGCCCGGGGAAGGGGACAGCCCGGGGAGCAGCCGTGAGACCTGCCCAGCGCAGGCCAGAACCAAGCGAGGGCACATCCCGCATGCCCACCAGCCCCCAGGTCCCTCGGTCCGCAGCTGCCGTGCCCTCGGGGCTCCCCAGAT